CATTTGTGGACAGGGCTCCAATGGGCTGGACGCTGTGATGAACCCTGTACCATTGTTCAAATGTTATCCATACCCCCTCTGATTCGGTCTATTGCCTCAGCATTCCCTAACCCGGCAACCGAGTTTTAGCCAATTAAGTTTACACAGGCCTCCCACGGTGGGACCGGGGAATGTACGGTCCGAGATACCTAGTAAACTTACTTTTGCTTAGAGGTATGGGGGGGAGGAAAAGTCCTTTGTAAATCCAGATTAGAACTTGTCTGATAAATGCTGAGCTGCGTGTGAGGGTTAATTAGCATTTGGAACACAGATTCCCCATCATGCAGTGTTCCCCTGCTTCGCTGCTCCCAGAATTCACTGCAGTCTCTGCTTCAAGTTTTCTGTTCTCCATCTCTCATGTAAATGAATGGTGATCTGGTCCCATCTCAGATGCAAATGAGACCTAGGGCTGTTGTTTCACTCGTGTCACCCTGATCTAGAGGGTTTTAGGTGCGTCTCTCACTGCATCTTAATCAGTTTCTGTTTAGGTAGAGGAGGGGAGGGGGGATTCTTTGTGAGTCAGACAGTCTGTGTCCTGTGTCAGGGTTCCCTAAGAACATGGAGCTGACAGGTAACAGACTGGTCTAGTTTCTACCACTTAGGGAGTTTTAGTGAGCTGTTGGGGCAGGGACAGAAGGAGGGGGCACAGGGGAGAGGAAGAAGGAAGCTGCTGATCTGGCCCACAGCAGCTCACCAAAACTTCCTAAGTGGCCCTTGAGCCTAAATAATTGCCCATTCCTGTATTAAATGTACCAGGTCAACTGAAAGAACTCTTTCTAATCTTTCAGTTACAGTGATTTAAAGTGTTATGAGTAATGAGGGTAGGTAAGAATTTCATACCTGTGACTTTTTAACAGGGTTTCTGTAATCCTGAAGTGGGTGGTCCATTAAGCTAAATTTAATTTAAAGGAGCAGTTTTTGCAAGAATTTTACAAACAATTGAAAGAGAAAGTTTAACCCTAATAAACTTTATAACTGTAAAAAATGTTTTGTTTGTTTATTTGTTTTAGTATCTGGCAAGCAGAAAATACTGTATCACAGAACTACTGGAAGAATTGATAGTGAAATACTTGTCTGATGAATTATCTGAGAGAAAGAAAATTCATGATGAAGAAACTGCTGAATACTCAAAGTAAGTTGCTACTCTCTTTATTTTTCTAAGGTTTCTTGAAAGAAGGATTACTGTCTTTTACAGAAACATTCAGAAAAAAATTATAACTTGTAGGACCCTAATGCTGACCTCTTATAGTTGCATTATGTTCCTTCATAAAGGCCAAGGGAACATTATCAACTGTCACTTAATTTTCAAAGATTACTTTCACAATGAGTGTGGCCTATAATGAAATTCATGCTTTTTATATATCAGAGTCTTATAGCGGACTTAAATTAGCATGTCACTGGTAAATAGTCTTAAAGAAGCTGAGAGTAATGTTCATCCAGAGTTTCCCTCTGATTTTTGCATGATAGATGTGATGGAACACAATAAACTACAAGTGAAAATATATTTTCTGTAACCTTTTACTTGTATGTTTGGAGATTACCCTTAGTATTTAGAAACATTTTAGGTGGAAATTTGATTTTGTTTGTTTGTTTCAAGCTGTCTTATTTATAAATATTTAAGAAATATTATTGATTAAACTACAGTTCTTACAGTTTGTAATACCAAGCAAAATGCTAACATTCAAATTTTTGTACAGTCTAAAAAGCAAAGATATAACTGATAACCATGTAATGCTCTGTTTGTGGGTCTGCTTCTGGTAAATACATAATTCTTGATTTTAAAAAAAAGCAACTTGTGGAACTATTTGAGCAAGTCAGTATCATTCTTTTAGGTTGCTGGTATTGTAAGAGTTCTATAGTTGGACATAAGTTTTGCTTTCTCATGCTCTTTAGTTATTTCAGTTCCTAGAAATCCAGTAGTGACTTCCAATAACTGCAACTTCAGAAAGCATTCTTTAATATCTTACCAAAATAATGTTCACAAACCACTCGGTCTCATGGAATAGATGTCCTTTCAGTGCTTTCCTAAGTGATAAAGAAATTAAGAAAAAATCCTCACTGGTGGGATGGTTATAAGTACTTCAAAAGAAAGACCACTGTCCTTGATGCATCTATTAGTTTTTTAATCATTGTCTATAGAGCAAGAAATGTTACACTTGCATGGATTCTTTGACTTCAAGCATAACAAAAAAACAAAGGGAGCACTGGCAACTTATTTGGCCTTAGGCAAAAAAATGTATTATGACGAGGCACAATTTTGCGGATAGTTTGGAAGTCATGTACTTAATCTTTTTGGTTTTATTTGAAGCTTGACCAAGAATGTTCCAGTATTTGTTTGCACTATGGCATATCCCACTGTGCCTTGCCCTCTTCATGTGTTTGAGCCAAGATACCGACTGATGATTCGCAGAAGTATGGAAGCTGGGACTAAACAGTTTGGGATGTGTATAAGCGACTCTCAGAACAGGTGGGTATGCATTCCTACAGAAAGCAGTCAGCATATTTCCTGTCTTTTTAATTGCAAAAATTACATGTATAACATTGGAAGACTCTGACATTGCCTCTTGTTCTAGTTTTGCAGATTATGGTTGTATGCTGCAAATTAGGAATATTCATTTTCTACCTGATGGGCGGTCTGTTGTTGATACAGTTGGTGGCAAAAGATTTAGAGTTTTACGAAGAGGGATGAAAGATGGCTATTGCACAGCAGATATTGAATATTTGGAAGATATTAAGGTATACAAAACTTTCTGGGCAATAATACTCATCTTGGTCACCTTTTTTCCCCTGTGCCTGTTTTTTAGGACCCTGGTTCAAATACTAAAGATCACAGACAAAGCCAGCCCTAGGGGTGTGCAGGGCTCAGGGCATATCAGCCAGTGTGGGGGCAGGGTGGTGAGCAGCAGCGCATGATGGCTGCATCGGTGCCTATACAGCACTGACCACAGGGTCCAGGACACACCCCCTGATTTTGCCCCCCCCCCCCCCCGGGCCCCGGCTCACAGCCCATTGCTGGAAAACCTGGTTAAAAGGATGGGGAAAA